CCCTTCCTTCTTTGAAGGTTTTACTCTGTTGCCCAGGCTGGAGTGCAGTAACGCAATCATAGCTCATGGCAGCCTCAAACTCCCAGGCTCAAGTCATACTCCCACCTCAGCTTCCTGAATAGCTAGGACTATAGACGTTACCATGCCCAGCTAATTTTTTATTTTATTTTTATATTTTGTAGAGAGAGGGTCTCGCTTTGTGGCCTAGGCTGGTCTTGAACTCCTGGCTTCAAGTGATCCTCCCACCTTGGCCTCCCAAAGAGTTGGGATCACAGCTGTCAGCCACTGTGCTTTGCATTCCTCACTATTTCTAACTTGCTGAGAATTTTATCATGAACTACTAATTTTATCAAATGCATCTACCAAGATATTCATATGACTTTCCTACCTATCTATTCCTAATTTGCTGAGTTCCTACCTATTCCTGATATGCTGGAAGTTTTATCATGAACACATGTTAAATTTTATCAAACGCATTAATGAGATATTCATATGGTTTTCCTTCTTTATTTTTAATTGGTGAATCACATTGATTGATTTCCAAAGCCTTCTCTTATGTAGAAACAAATAACCACAGATCAATAGACATTTGAGGAAATACTTCAATATTAGAAAGACTAGCATAAAAAAAAAAAGAGAGAAAAAAGTTACCCCAGGAGAAACAGATATTATGGGAAATGGGGGGAAATTCCAAACAGTAACTATTTGAATTAAAGCTTCAAATTATATCAACAAACTTAAAATGTTGAACAGGGTTGGTGAGGAAAAACTGAGTTAAGGAATTTGTTTCAAGTATGACAACAATATGGTGGAAAAATATGGTTTCAGATTCAACTGTAACAATTACAGAAATATAGATTAAACAATGAACTTGAAAAGTTGAAGGTAACTACTGACTGAGTGAAATCAGATCTTATAAGACCTATGAAACTCTGAAAATAAAAATAAAGAGCAAACCTAGTTTGCATTTTTAGAGAGATAAAACAAGAAAAACAATGACTTATAAAAGGTAAGACAGAAGAAAGGTTGAAAAATTATAACACTGAATATACCTGAAGAAATGATACTGAAAGGCAATATTAATGATATTGGAAGCATCATCAGTATTGATGATATTGATACTGACTGGACTCAAAGATAGAATCCAACTAAAGATGCAGTGACACAAAATATGCTGAAATCAAAAATAGGCAATTTATGGTATGCAACTTCAAATAAAACAAAAAGCAGAACAGTTCCCATTAATGTCAATTCAAAATTCAAGAAACAAATAATGGGACAAATGTTTTATGGGCATTGCAAAACAATTCACCCCTAAGTTTTTACTCTTTCCGTATACCAAAATGGACAAAATATACAGGTTCTAGATAAGTTAATAAGAATGAGTTATTACTTAATCTTGTAACTTAAAAACAGAGAACACATCATCAATATTTAGCATAATCTTGGCCACAAAAGAAGTCTCAATAAGTTACAATCAATAGAGTTGAAACATATTGCATAAGGAAAATAAATTTCTTAAGATTTTAGAAAGCAAAACAAAACACACTGTGTTGGGTTAAAGATGAAATAAAACTTGTAGTTACAGGCTATTTAGAAACAGAAAGAAAGAGAAAGGTAATGACAATGAGACTGAATAAGAGAAAAAACACTTCAACATTCGAAAATCTCTCTGTAATTTTACATCAGTAAATAAAAGGAGAAGTATTTGAATATATTCACAAATGATTTTAAAAGGGAATTTGGTAAGTCCTAACAGCTATTTTTAAAAATAAAAACTGTATATGAAATAAAAACTAACATAACATGAACTCTCTAAAATCAGCAAATGTTATGGTAAACATGAATGGTGAAGTCATTTAAAT